CAGAGAGGGTGAGACAAATGCTTTCTTCACTTCAAATAAACCATTCCCATCTCTTGACACCACCTGCGTCTTATTCGGCACAAAAACGTCAATCTCCTGCGCCAGTTGCACAACCCCAGACTTACTCTCCACAGCGTGTGCACCTCCACAGTCGCAGCTAACCGTCACAAAAAAGAGGAGCAGCACCGCGGAAGCAAACACACGCCGGGACATGTTGGGCCTCTGCGGCTCACTCTCTCTTCCTTCCCTCCTCATTCCGCTGGATCCGGTCCCGCCGCGACGGTTGTGTGTGCGGGGTGCCTTCAATGCAGCAACAATTGAGAGTATACAAATATGTGTGTGTGTGTGTGCTGTTGGTCCTTTCAGAGTCTTCGAATTTCACAGTAGCGATTAGCGCCCAATTTCCTAGCGTGTGTCTGTGTTCAACAAGTGGAAAGGAAAACGACAGCGGAAAAGAGGCAGTACAACAGCAGTACAAACCGCCACCACTCACAGCGAAACACAACATGACCATCTCCGCAGTCAATATTCTACAGCACCCCTCAGCAGCATACAAAAATTAGGGGAAAATGTGAGCAGCCTCCCAATGGGGGACCGCGTGTGCAGTGAGGAGCACGAGAGTTGAACTGCAACGACACGGCTGCGTGACAACCCGTTGGGAGTACCGATGCAGACCAGCACATTGACACAGGAAGAGTTGCTTCCCCCGCCGAGCAGAGAGGGAAACGGCCTCAGCAGCCCAATGATGAGAGGTCGCCTGCACCTCCTCGCGGCACCTGCAAGCTCTGCAGACACAAAGATGCAGGTGACGCTCTGCTGCACGCATAACGACCGTTGCACCCTTCGCAATGGCAATCGCATCCTGTGGCACCAAACGCCGCAGTGGAAGCGTACAGTCTCCGCCTCCCTCCCTCCTTTCCCTCTCCCTGAAAACTCATCGGTGGCCGTGGCACACCCACCGAAATGTCAAAAAGCAATTGTTTTTCTTCCTCCCTCGCACCTCGCACAGCAGCACCGCCAAACGCATGTCACTCCTCCTTTCGCGGATTCTCCTCAAACACGCCTCCCGCCACGTTCATCAGCTCACAGGCACACAGTCCGTAAACGTCACGCTCTGCCGCCCCGCACGATGGTGCCGCACACACACCAACACGGCACCCCGCCACTCGGTGCAAACAGCTTCTGGGCACACAAAACAGGTTGCCCCAGTCAACGACAGCCCCCTCCAAGCAGTGAGACAGGACTCGTCAGTAACAATCAAACAACCAGCCCCTCGTTTCCTCCTTCCGCCATGCACGAGGTTCTGCCTGCCCCATGCATCATCCGTGACGCCCGGGCTCTCAATGAGTAAACAAAACAATATGCTCCCCTCGACTCAACAAAAAGCCCATTGACAATCCTCAGCCTGTCATCTCCATGGGCTGTGCATGAGGAGCACCACGGCAAGAATGCACAGGAGCTTATATGCAAACCCTCAACTCATTCCACGTCAATAAGCAGTGTGGCATCATGCCTGGGCTTCACAAGAATGTCGGCCGGCGCTTCCCCGAGAGGCCTCCCATAAACACCGCACGTGGTCACAGTAAAGAAAAAGCAACGTCTCCAATCTGGCTGTCACCCTGTGGCAAACATCAAAGCACAATCCAACAAAATGCCGCAAATCATCACATATTTCACACAGACCATCAGCAGCTTACGCGGCAAATGCACAGCACGGAAGAAGAGCCATGCCGACAAACACGCAGCACACAGACACAGTAAGAGAGTTGGGAAAAGCAGCACCCAAAGCCATTCTTTGTGAATGCTAATGATAATAACACCAAACACAGTGAAGCACCAGTCGGGCACCACATATGGGCCACAGACACCACCCACCCGCCCATTCACTCTTCTCCCTCCCAATGGCGTGGCCCTCCTGCACCTCCACGAACACGCCTGTCCCTCAGTTATGTGTGCCTCTAACGCAAGCACTCAAGGTGCGTTTCGGTAATCCAAAATTCAACACCTCAGAAAAACAGAGGAAATGCTCGCAGAGGCCACATGGCTCCTCAACGCACCTTCCAAGCCCTCCTCACGACTCTTCAATGCGACGGAGACGAATACAGGCGGCTCTCGTGTCACAGAAGACGGCCAATGGGAGCGGTTTTCAGAGCGCAGAAAATGCCAAGATGTGAAGCAGAGAAGGGAGGAGGTTCGCAGAGGGTGTCGGCTGCCACGCCTGATGTGCGTCGTCTTATTCGTGCGATGGAGAACCAACGACACTGTTGTTGCGGTGCCTGCCCGTGCACGCACCTCACTCTCGCGCCAATGAACGCCTCAAAAAACATCCTGCAGAGGGCAAGCAGCTGGCCGTGCAAACAATCCCGAGTCTCGTCAATGTTCCAGCAGCCGCTCCTTTGGCGAGGCGTCGCTCTCTTTCGTCCTTGTCTCCCGTGTGCCATCCTCGTATGAAATGAAAATGCCTTCCACAACTGGCGTCATCAAGCACCTCCAAGTAAATTTGAAAGGATTCACGGCCTCGAGAAAAAGCATCCAAAGTGGCAGTCAACGTGAACTCAGCAACGCACGTCGTCTTCTGCAGCCGCTTGCATTGCAACTCCCCTCAGCCGCCCGGTGCCTCTTCCTTCTTTGTGGACCCAAACCGCATGGTACTCTTTGATTTGCTCGGATCCTCCACAGGCTCGCGTAACCGTGTCCACCACGCCCGTGCAGCTCGTGACTGCATCACTTCTCCGTCCACTTCTGCGGCACCGAATAGCGTGAAATAGGGATCCAAAACACCACATCTGCGAGACAAAAACACACGCATCGCTCCAACGAGTTCCCACTGTGAGAAATCACACGACAGCACACCATCTCTCGCCCTCCCATCAGCGATTTGCCGTCAACAACCACAACGGCATTGAGAAGCAGCCTCGGGGCAATCCCTGAGAGCCGTCCCCCCACCTCGGCGGGCGACCGACTCTGGGAACCCTGCACACCAGTGCCGTTCCGGTAGGGACTCCTGCCACCGCCAACCGTGTTTCCCTGTCGCGTTGACACACGGAGCCCGCTTCAGAGAAACAACAACACGCTCCATTCAAAAAGTGGCTATGAGGGTGCAGGCAACAGGCGCAGGGCGCACCCTCTCAGTTTCCATTGCCGACAAAGTAAAAGAGCATCAGTACCGACTTGCTACAGCACGCACGGTTGTGCTTCTGTTGTCCTCCCCCGTGTTTTTTCAATTACATGGCCCGCGCTGCGGCAACGCGTGCCCCAGACCTCTTGGTGTTTAAAATGTGCCCCAGCACAAAGCAGCTGGTCCGCACGCTGTTCGATGCCGTCAGCCCTGCGCCAACAAAAAAACAACCACGTGAGGGAAACATTGCTGGCTCCTGGTCTCCCCGACAATACGGAGCAATTGGCCCTGGCGCCGCGATAAGGCAGTCAAGCATGAAATCGCAAGGGGAAGCAACGATGACGCAGGCACAAGGAAGCCATTCCACCCTCAATTGAATACGGCGCCCCACTCCAAGCAGTCACACGGAGCGCACTGTTTCCACAAAAGAACTTGGTCGTCGTCCATCCCTTAAAGATGCTTCGTTTAATGATGGGCCTTAGAACAAAAAAAATAAGAGGAAATAAACAACGTAGTAATACTTCATCACCGCTGGCCATAATCATTCTCTCATAACAGAGCAATTTCCCTACTATGCCTCGTATGCACACACAGAAATCCACATGTATGAAAAAACCCGCAATGTTTTTCTACCAGAAACCAAACTACCCCGTTCCCTCCATAATTTCTTCTTCGTTCACTGTTACGATCGCTCGCGTTGGACATTTTCCGCATCCGTGTGTGATGCTGCCGCCTGATGCTGGTGCATCTGCACTGTATGCACACACAGGCATCCAACCATATGAAACAAGCCCCAATATTTGTTACCAGAACTCAAAATACCCCCGCAATTCCCTAATTTGTTTTCCCATTTATTCCTTTAATTACTCCTCAATTCTAATGCCTTCTTGGGGCGTCTTCGGATGATATTGACACTTGGTACTGGCGTACCTTTTCGTTCCAGAACGCCGCAATCTTTTTTTCATCGTCGCTCACATTATTGGCATCGACGACATCACATCTCTGCCAGTCATTCATCGGCGTGCTGTCTGCGTGCTGCACGTAAATAATCTCCCACGACAGTTTTCGGGACAACTCGTCCCAACCATTAAAATATTCCGCCAGGCACTCAGTGAACTGCCTCGCAGTGCTGGCTGTGGTGTGATGCCCACCCGCTGTAGCCATCCGCAGCCCAACCAGCGTCATTGGATTTAACTTCACAAAGAAAAAGGCGTCCACCAGCGGAAAGTTTTCCACCTCCGTTACGTACAGCACCCCGCACTCCACATCAATCCTCTCAGAAAAGTGTTCCAGTGGCGGTAAGACATGGTGCCCGGCGGAGCGCTCCTGTGAGTACACCGCCAGCGCACAGCAGTGGGACTGACGTTGTGGTGATGGCCTCAGCTCCCTCAGCCTGCGTCCTATTGCACGCACAAAAGATCCATTCAAAAATGCAAACACGGTGCTCCTTCCAAAATTTTCTGATATGAGATAATCCGTCAGCTCCGATATGAGTAAATTAAAATCATGCTGCTGCATTAACTTCGCCGACTTGAATAATGTTTTATTTCCGAGGTGAGCAGACACCGGTAAATTGAAAAAAAATTCAAAACCAAACCTTCCATCTCGTACTCGGACAACCCTCGCAAGCCAGTAGAGCACCTTCTTACAATCCCAGGATACACCACATCCCAAACCACTGTATTGCAAGATTACAGAAGAGGTCGCCTCATCGACGATCTTGTGACACCGTTGAACCCAATTATCATACTTTCGCTCGTCAAAGATATAACGTGGAATAGGTCCCACTTCATCCATTTGGCCCTTCACCACATGCCAGTACTCCGCTTGCTCCCGCACGGGCTGATGGCGCCTCATCCAAACGCACATCGCCTTCACATCGCTTTCACCAGGGCAATTCATAACTATTTTTGTGGCACCGCTCCGTTTCACCCATTCTTTGTAGTTCCCCTCGAGTGGGGGTGACACCAAAACCATGCCCCATCCCCTGGGAGCCAAATTACCAGACGGTTCATCATCCGGCTCTGCCACATCGTAAATAATATACCCCTTCATCCCACGGTCAGACAGACTCCTCACAAGAGACGCATTACTGGAGTCGCTCATGTATGTCGACACCGTCCTGCTGGTCTTGTCA